AATAATGATGTTCACTTGTATTTCAAGCTGCTACTACTGTATTTTATGTTTAATAATGTTTCCATTTTTGAAATATGATAAGAGAGAAAAGAGCGTTTTGAAGCTATTTTTGATAAAAAATGCTGAATTTGGCTGGTAGCTACCATTTCTTCTCGTAATTATTAAAAAGAAATTCGATAGATCGATGCAGAATATACAAAAACCTACATAAAAAATTTCAATGAGTAAGATCGGCTGTTTTGTGTTCGAGAACTTGAGTGCTCGACTTCAATCAAGCTGGTTGACCATTAGCTTTTTTGACTGTATATTTGATGTAGTGATGATAGAGAGAGAGAGAGACAGACACAGACACGTAACTGATTTAGTAAGTATATCAAACGGAAATTTAATTTAGTCAATGATCGGTACAACTTCAAACGACTAATCACATACATTAACTATAAAACATTGTAGAATAAATATTGATTTTTTGCTTGTAGGCTAAAAGATGAACTTGTTACTATTGTTTTGTTCAATCAGCCTAGAAGAGCAAGACTATGGATGTCTATGTGTTATATATGCAAATTGAATTAAACAATAGAAAATGAAGAAAAAAAAAGAAGTACATGGACAAATTTATATTGTCTTGACTTTCACATATTGGATAGTGTCTTGTCGTTATGTCCGGTAGTTCAACGGAAATTACAAGTTGTTGCAATGATTACGCCATAACATTATATGTAGTAATCAAGAAGATGAGTGTTCTAGAGAGAAAAAAAAGACAAGAAGAAAAAAAGGCATGATAATTTCACCTATTTATATGATAAACAAAAGTTTGTCAATGCAAAACATAATCAGATTTCTTAATTGAGCGAGATCAGTCGTCCGTAACTCCTGAGTGAATTGTTAGTTATTTCATTAAATATAACAATAATTATCCATGCTGTTTCTGTCCCGTTTTTTTATTTTTTATCAATCATTATTTAGGAAGGAGAGAAAAAAAATGATGATGAAGGCCGAGCACACATACACATTTATTAAATTAGAAAAAAAAGACATTTTCTTTTGTCTATATATAATGCTTATTATCATTACTTGATTTCAATGCAAATTTATCATTATTCAAATTATTTTTGTCATTTAATAAATAAAAAAATGAAAGTATTATTAAATGAAACACAACTTTTTTTCCTTTTTAGATGATCAATTCTTCCAAAAATTTTCCAATTGATTGTCTCAAAATTGTATAGATATATATTTGTTGTTATTGAAATGATTTCTATATGAAATAGATTAGCACTTATTACATCAACCCGAATATAAATAACAGAAGAAAACTGATCATTGGAATATGTCGTATTGATATGATGATTAAATTTAATCACCATTATCATTAAATCCAAAACTATACTAAAAAATTTAATATTACTTGTATAATCTTAAATGTCTATATATTAAAGCAAACATAAAAATAAAATTGGATTGATATATAGTTGTTCGTAAATGAAAAAAAGGATTAGGAAAGTGAAAAACAACTTCTTGAAATCTAAATTAATGTAAAATTGGTCATTATCAAAACATGATTGAAATATTTTTTTGTTCTTTGAATACATTCGTAAAGGAAAAAAAAGACAAAAAAAGATATTAAAATTGTTTTCCAACAAGAATTAGGTGATCATTCTGTTCCATATTAGGTGTATCAACAAAACAAAGTCTTAGATAATATTGATGTAATAAAGGATTTTTTTCATCTAATAAAGCATGACATCCATGACAACCTATATGGAAAAAATAAAGAAGATATACATTTTTCATGTTATTATAATAAAAATACCTTGTTTAATGAGATTATCAATAATAATTTTCATTAATTTATTTTCAATAAAAAAAAAGCATTATCAGTTTTAATAATTAAATCAATAAATGATTGTATACGAACAGGATATCAATCATAAATCCATTGATGACATTCACTTATTTCAAAAAAATTCTAAATTAAAATCAAAAAATTTTTAAATTAAAAAGAAAAAGAAAATAATTTTTTTTTTTTTTTTTTTTTAAATCTTTACTTGATCAACATTTGGATATTTCTGATGTAGTTGTGTAATCCATGTTGATTAAATAAGTTTATCATATTTTTCACACTCAATTATTGTTAATACAAATGCATATAATTCATCTTCACCATTATTTACACAAAAACATAAATCAAAATTATTCAATGAACTTAATAAATATCCATCAATTAATCTAAGCAACAAAACAAATATAAATATTTCAATAATTTATTGTCTTGTAAAGAGAACTACTGTGAAAACTATTTATCAGCCAAAAATTTCAGATTAAAATTTAATAATTCGACATGTCAATATATAACTTGTCAGAGATCGAAACCCTATCGAATGGTTGTAACATACGATGTGCAGCGTATTTGAAAAGAGGAGATAAAGACGCACAGAATCGTGTATTATAGGTTTCTATAAGAATGTTTTCTTAATCAATTTTCTATAAAATATAACGGAAAATCGATTTCTCTAAAAATAACAAAAACGCAAAGTGATTTTTTTTACAGAAATTGATAGAAAAATCGGCTAAGAGTTTCACACAAAAATGCCTATAACTCGTGAACATATAAGCGTGAAAGTCTGGACGATGCGTAGTTTAATAGATCTTCATTTAGCGATTCGAATACATACCTCATTATCGAAAATTAGTCTTAGTCACCTTACGGAGTATATTGCTTTTCAGAAACGTCGATTGAAGTCCTTAATAAAACTAGGTCAAATTACTCTGTAATATACAGTTCGATTCGTCTCCATCTCCTCTTTTTAATGGTCAAAACTGCAACTCTCTACACTAATTCTATCAAAGTCTATTCAAAAAAATACCCACCCACTTTTTATTTGGAAATGGACAGTAGTACAGCATGTCTACGCATCGGTCATTCTCCTAGGAGAAAGGTTTAAAATGACAAGGTGAGGAATACTGTTTCGATAGTCGGATATGTGCAATCAATCGATTACCAAATCTGTTGCAATTTATAACTGGAGTAATAAAAACTCCACTTTTTCGTCTGACAGGTGTCGAAAAATAGATTTATTGACTAATTTTGTCAGAAAAGCATACTTTTTTACTTCTTCACATTGCATTTTTATCTGAAAAATAGTTTAATGTTCTTATGAGATTCTATTGAGAGAATAAAACTAACATACTGGAAAGATAAAAACTGTCTTCATACTACTGATGTATCCAAAAAAAAGGATAAGCTTTATCTTTATAGTTTGAAATGCTAAGTTCTCAGACCTTCACCTCTAGAAATTCAGAAAAAGATGAAATTCTGTAACGAGCGATATTTCAAGTTTTTTATTTGATGAAGCTAAGATGGACGAGAAATAATCTGATATTCTAATAGTTTGTTAAAAGGTGAACAACTTTGGAATGTAACCTTTATTTGCATACTTCGTTCTTTCGTATAAAAATTCTTAATTCATAGCTATCCTTAAAAAAAATTTTCATTTTCAGAAATTGCGTAACGATCATTATTTTTTGAATAACTCTGTTGCGGTTGAAGAGAAATGGGTAAACTTTTTATTAGTTACAGATCTAAGCAAGCTCTATATAATCACGCCGAATATAAATCGAATTCAAAACAATACATCACATGTCTAGTTTACTCCTCTTAGAAAAATGAAGTTTCAATCTAAGCTAACGATTTTTTTTATACATCGAACAAGAAAAGGAAATATTATCTTGATCAGCATCAATATTAAAATTATTTTCAACTATAGTCAATAAGTTTGAAAAACTTGGCTTCTTATTTAATTTCAATATAGTAAATATTTCAATTGAAAAATCAATACTAACTTATCAGCTAAAATTATTGAATGCTGTTCTAGAAGATCATCGATTTCATCTTGATAACAAACTTGTGTACATAAAGCATACATTAGAGCCTAAAATATAATCTAATATAATTTGATGTGATTTGTTTTTTTTTTATAATTAAACAAACTTGATCATTTGAAGTCATTGGTTGAATAAGATAAATATATGGTGATAAATTTAATTCTGATTTAATTATGGATTGAAAATCACCAGTTGAAAGAATACTCTATAAATACATTTATTTAAATAAAAACTAAAAGAAAAATTTTTTGAATAATAAACCAGAAATTCACCGGCAAGACCACCACGTTTTGCAGCATGTGGGTTGCGGTGTGGATATGGGTAGGAGAACACCACATATCCCACATCCACACACCCCACACCCACCTTCACGATGTTCACGAAAATTATCAATTATATATTGTGGATCCATAGCAACTGGCATTTCGAATACATTTGCTTTCCATGGAACTTCTATATCAGTTGTTTTAGTTATATCTGACCACTGTGAATCAGAATTTGGTCGATTATCATTATCTTTCTGTTTTTGAGTCGGTGAGGATACATTAGTTGTCGTTGAACTAAAATGATTAACATAAGAAAGAACTTATATGATAAACAAAATTTATATTAATTAATACCGAGATAAAGTACCAAGGACTGATGGTTAATCTCGTTGAAGTATTCGAGCAATGTTATTTCGAATTAATGTATACATCTTGAAGATTATCATATAGAAAATAATCTCGACATATTCATTCATTCTTCTCTCTTTTACCATTCTAATTCATCGATGAAATAACCAATCAACAGTGGAAACAATACATGCCTACCTTATCATTGGCGATCTATCCGAATGCTATATCGTTTACGCATATAACCAAATCCTATTTCTTCCACGTATACGCTGCATTTGTTTACTCATTTCCTCATTTAGATTAGAACAACAGAATAATGTATCATATAAGATTATATAAAAAGTATATTTATTTTTTTATGAAATTACAAGTAACCACGAGATAAATTCAGGTTAATTGCTGATGCAACATATTTTACTTATAATAAAGATAAATATGGACAGAATAATTGATTAATATCAAATGAACAAACAATTTAATACAAGAACCAATTCATTCAAAACATGGTTATATGATTTAGTTTAATTTAAATAATAAATTGATACTATTAGGGTGTGGATGTGGGTGTGGGCCTGTGGGGGTGTGGGTGTGGGTGTGGGTGTGGGTGGGTGTGGGTGTGGGTGTGGGGTGTGGATGTGGCGGTGTGTGAGGGTGTGGGTGTGGGTGTGAGCGCTCGGTGGGGGTTGAGTGCTTCTATTAACCACACCCACACCCACACCCTCAATTATTATTATATTAGGATTAGGGAGTATTTGATTTAGACTACATGGTTATGATTCTTGAAAATGAACACTTAGTTGTTTGAAACGTCGAAAAATGAATAAAAGAATTTCTTCTTCACTTATATACTTATATATATATGCCGCAAGGGAAATTAAAATTCCGGAAAATTTAAAATTTTATTTTCGCCTAGGACAATTTAAAATTTAAATTTTTCCTCTAGGAGAATTTAAAATTTTCCCGAATATATAGTATTAACGTTATATTTTAACTTTTCCTATAGAAAAAATTAAAATATATTTTACGTTCGATAGAATCGGTAGAAAATCAGAATCGAATTTAAATATACACTTAAAAAAAGTCGCCCATATGGTGTAAGTATATTATTCAAGTGATCACTCTCTTATTTTCATGGAGGAATTTTATAAATTACTGGATAAACATATTGAAGGTTTAGATGACAAATTTCGAGGTAAGTTTCCTATCAAACAGTCATTATATGGTGATATAATATTGGTTCTTCGAAATGGCTGGGGAGATTCTCAGCTCAAATTCTGGATGTATAAAAATTTTAAATTAATAAAAATTGATGATTAGAATGTTGTATATGAAATTAAATCTAATCATCCTGTTGTTACATATGAAAATCTCTATAGAAAAATCAAAGAGTGTCATGAAAGAGTTGGTCATCACAGTCGCGACAAAACTTGGTTAGAAGTATGTAATCTGAATATTTCTAGTTGAATCTCACAGTGTATTTTTCAGGTGAAGGATCAATATGGATGGGTACCGTTTGGTAGTGTAAAACTCTTTATTTCTCAATGTGATGTATGTTCTAATAGAAAAGCATTTCCAAAACCAGCAGTCGGTAGTTTAAGATTAATGCAAGAACTCTTCTCTTCATTCACACATACACGCCACCCACATCCTACTATAGTCTACTTTTTTGAGAAGATTTGTATACATTATAGTGCAAGTGAAGTATTGCCATGCAACGTCCTCTCTTAGGTTGATTTCCTGTTTAGAGGATTTATACAATATGGCTCAATGGTGATTTTGTATGAGTAGATGAAAGTGTGTGTTGCTCAACTTATCCAGAGGGGCTACGACGTTGATGACTATTAAAATGTAAATTGGTACTTCTTTAAAATTAGTTCGTTCACACCATCATTCGTAAACAATAATGTAGAGGCACGAATTGTTTTTTTCTTTCCTGTCATTGTTTGGATAGGGGGTGTGCATGTGTTGAAGAAGCTTGAATAATTTAATGAAAAAATTCTAAAGTATTTTAACGATCGCAGAAGAAACAAATAATGTGAGTAAAGAAACTATATTTATTCCAAATGAATCATAGTTATTTATTCTACTCAGTACTATTCATTCATATATTGTTTAGAAGTGCGCAGTTGCTTCACATATTCGCGTGAAAAAAGAAAAAAGCAAGCTATTCATATTTGATTGTTTCATTGCGAGAGACAAGATGCTGGGCTCAGACAAATATCTGAAAGATCTATTCGTGTTCTCAAGAAGTACTTTTGATGGAAATGCTTATAAAACATCTCCAAAACAACATATAGTTCAAGATTTTCGACTTGTTTGGTTAAACACAGACGCCAGTAAGTCAAAGGATGATTTTGGTGATTGCATAGCTGATCTCATGAATAATGTATTTACTACTGAGACATTCACTGATGTTGATCAATGCGTCGACTTTCTCACTGATCTAATAGATGATAGGGTTTTAATGATAGTATCTGGCCCTCTCTGCTATCTTATAGTACCTTTAATTCATGATATTATATCAGTCAATACCATTCTCGTCTTTTCCAATAACAATTTACTTGATCAACAATGGACGAAGAAATGGACGAAGGTGCGGGGTGGTTTTGCAGATATTAACTCTTTCCATGATTCACTGAAACAAGCTCTCCATAAATGTGAACATAATACAATTCCGATCAGTTTTGTTTCGATCGATGACGTTTGCAATAAAAATTTGGATGAACTTGATCAATCATTTATGTACACACAAATACTGAAAGAAATATTATTTGAAATCGAATACAAAAAGGAATCAATAAAAGATTTTACTACTTTTTGTAGCAATCTTTATTCCGACAACAACTCTATATTGATCAACATTCTTAAATTTGAAAAAGATTATCATCTTAAATCACCCATATGGTGGTACACCTATCAAAATTTTCTTTATTCAATCCTTAACCGAGCGTTGCGCACTCAAGAAGTACATAAAATAATTAAGATGGGTTTTTTTATTCGTGATCTACATCAACAAATTGAAAAGGTACATTCAACGCAGTTTGGCGACAAACACCAGTCGTTTACTGTCTACCGAGGTCAGAGTTTATCAAAAGGAGACTTTGACAAGTTGATGAAATCAAAAGGTGGATTAATATCGTTTAACAACTTTTTGTCTACTAGTGAAGATAGAGACGTTGCATTTGCCTTTGCCGAGAGTTGTAGTGGCGACCTAAATTCGGTTGGAATTCTGTTCGAAATAACGATTGATCCCTCTATCTCAAGCGTTCCTTTCGCTCGTATCGATGAATATACTAATTATGAAGCAGAAAAGGAAGTGCTTTTCTCCATGCATAGCGTTTTCCGAATTACAGAAGTCAATATGACGGACGAAATCAATAATCTTTGGATAGTAAAACTTCAAGTCACAAATAACAACGATCCGTTACTCGACAGCTTAACCAAACGGCTTCGACAAGAGACTCAAGGCACGACTGGATGGCATCGACTGGGACAGTTGCTCATGCATCTTGGCCAGTTTGATCAGGCCGAACAATTATACCAAACAATACTCGATCAATATACATTTGACCAAGAAGATAGAGCCTGGATCTTCAATCAACTTGGAGAGATCAGAAAAGAACATGGCGACTATATCATGGCGGTTAAATATTACGATCAAGCATACGAACTACTGAAAAAAATTCTGCCAAAATGCCATCCAAAATTGATAAATTGCATGAATAATTTTGGTATGATACTTACGGAAATGGGAGACTATTCACGGGCACTTCAAATTTTCGAAACAGTATTAGATTTTCAGAAAAATATTCTTCCTTCAGATCATCTACATATTGCTCAATCATACGCCAATATTGGTGATATTCACAGTTTAATCAACAATTATACGAAGGCAATTTCAGCTTACACAAAAGCATTAGAAATTGTGACAATTATTCTTCCTTCGATTCATCCGGCTTTAGCTTCTTTACATAATCGTATAGGATGTGTTTATAATGATATGGGCGAGTATACAAAAGCACTATCGTCGTACAAAAAAGCGTTTGAAATTCGACAAAAATCTCTTTCTATAGATCATCCCGGTTTGGCTGCTTCTTACGCTAGTATTGGTTCCGTATATCACAATATGGGCGAATACTCCACGGCGCTGTCGTGTGCTGAAAAATCACTTGAAATATGTCAGAAATCTTTTTCTTCCGATCATCCTGATTTAGCTACTTGCTACGGTAATATCGGCACTGTGTACAACAGTATGGGCGCGTACTCAAAAGCACTTGAATTTTATGAAAAAGCACTTGAAATTAAACAAAATATCCTCCCTCAAGACCATCCAAATATAGCTGATGCCTATAATGAAATTGGTAGCATGTATACTACAATGGGCAACGATTCCAAAGCTCTTTCCGCTTTTGAAAAATCACTAGAAATCTACCAAAAAACTCTTCCACCAAATCATCTCAATCTAGCTACTTTCTATAATAACTTGGGTGATTTATATAAAAGTACAGGTGAATATCCAAAAGCACTTTCGTACTGTACTAAAGCACTGATGATTTGTCAAGAGACTCTCTCTTCACATCATCCTATTTTGATTATCGCTTACCACAATCTCGGCAAATTACATCAAGTTATGGGCGAATATTCCAAAGCACTTACATTTTATCAAAAAGCACTAGAAATTGAGGAAGAAACGCTCCCTCCAATGCATCCTGACTTGGCTTCTCTTTATAGCAGTCTCGGTGAAGTGTACTTAGAAACAAAGGACTATCCAAAAGCACTTCTCTTTTTTGAAAAAGCGCGTACAATCTGGCAAAAAACTCTTCCTTCAAATCATCTTCATCTGGTCCATTCGTATTATTGTATCGGCAAAGTGTATCAAGCCATGGGAGATCCTATAAAAGCACTGCCATTTTTCAAACATTTTGTTGAAATGTTTCGAAATTAACTGAACGACTGGCATCCTCGAAAAGATACATTCGTGAAAGGGTGGGTGTGGGTGGGTATGGGAGTGTGTGTGGGGGTATTCATTAACTGAGGACCTATAACGACTTCCACACACCCACCCACACCCACACCCTCCCCCAATACATGATAGTACATTCCAATACATGCGAATACAAGGTTCCAATTTCCAGGTTTTTCCCCTCAGTACATGACAGTACAAGGTTCCAATTCTAGGTTTTTTCCCCCACTATATGACAACACATTCATGGTGACAAGAAGTATATGAGTTGAGGAGTACAAATTGTATTTGTATTTGTGCATCTCTGCATTTCACATTTTATACGACAACAGCCAGTTAAAGAAATCGGTAAGTGACCAATCCATACATACGAGAGAATAAAAATGATAACTGATTCGAGGTCTCTGACTGGTTTTAACTTTCTTGTCTCTGTTATAATGGATACCAATATAAGTCAATCAATGTTTCGTATTGATCTTTCGCATAATAAATTAAATTATTAAGGTTGGATCTTCTATCACATGTAGGACATTGCTTCTTACGGGGGTCTTCTAGTATAGAATGTCTTTTCTTATAAAGACAGAAGTTAAGATAATAATCATTTGGAATTTGACAAACAAGTTAAAAAATTATAATTTTAGTTATATCTAATCAATTTTTCAACATTGTATTCCTTTTTTCAATTTCAGAACACCTATTTCATATAATGAGAATCAATAAATGGAGAACGAGATATTATTCTAACTAAACTGATATTTTGTTTCTTTTCAATCAAATATAAAACGACTTTTTTAAAATACATTCATTCTATAGAAAACAATTTTATTTAAATAAGAATCATCATCTAATTCGATATGCACAAAGAAAATAATCTTTGAAATGTTTTGGAGTTCGTTTCATACTTTTATAATATGAAAAATTCACTTTGGAACAATTAATCCGTGTTGCATCTCTTGTAAAATTATGTGTCACTTTTTTCAGTGGCCGATAATAGACATAAAGATCAACATTATATGGTAAAGACAATTTCGTATCAAGTAAAAATTGTTCAACATAATCTTCGTGAGCTTCATATAGAACAAGTTCAGTAAGACGAGGATATTTAATGATTAAAGGATGTTGATTATTGTTCATTTGTGGTTTCTCATTAATTAAAGCTAATTTTTTCATAAATGGAAATGATTGAGCAATTCAACGAAAAAATTCATGTTCAAAAGGATGTTCATCAAATAATGATATTTCAGAGACATATTCGAATAATCCACCCGGAAAATTATTTGTTATATTCTTGTAATGTTTTAAATTATATGGATATGAATAAATATGACATTGACCTCTTTTTTCTTTCGGAAAATAATCAACAGTAGAAATTATTTGATAATCTTTAAAAGCTCTAAATGTATGTTGAATATCTTCATTTGATGTTAAATCAAGTGCATCATAATCACGAATATTTGAGTAAATATTAAATGCAAATTTCTTTAATCGTGTCGTATAATTGTTAATATTTCTCTTCAACTCATTACCATCAATAAATGTTTTTCTACAAACAACAAGATGCAAATCAAGTTTTTCTAAATTGGACATTCGATGTAAAAATGATACAATAATTTCATCATAAATATTAGTTTCCATCTTACTGTGCAACGAAAAACATCTTAGGTTAGGTAGCTTACCCTTGAAAAAGACAATAATGTTGATTCGTTTGAATAAATTAAATATTCATCAAAATAATTTACTTTATTATACATTGATAACCAATTCGAAGAGTTTATGTAATAAATATTGACATGAAGTGTATGAAGTTGATTAAAATGTCCATCAAGTAAATAAAGACAATCGAGAATACCTCTCAAATTGATATGTAATTCCAGTAGAGTTGAAGAAAATATAGTTGAACATGAAATATCAAATGATAATACTTGACAACAACTAAAAGACGGACCAAAATTTAAACATTGTAAATTGGTGAACATAGAAAAGATACGTGTAAATATTAATTCAAGCACATCGTTTCTTGTATTATGTTTTTCATCTTTAGCAATATCAATAACCAATGATGAAATCTGATTTTTAAATATATCCATCAAAGATGTTTCCTCTAAACACAAATACAAAAGCAATGAAGCAAAAAATTATTCATATTTTAATATCAATCATATTAGAGAATCGATTCTTTTCTATTTAAATAACAAATATTTGCTTAAAATTATTATATCGATAAATCTTCTCATTGTCTTCACCTATGCATATTCATTATTTTATAACAATTCTCTATTTATTTTTATTCATAAGTAAATACAGAAAATTTCATTCATAATAAATAAAATGTACAACCATCTTCTCAATTCTATATAAAAATTTATCCAGAAGAGTCATTTTCATTTTTTGTCTTATTTATGTATCGTTTCAAGAATGAAAATAAAATCACATACCAGTAAAAAGATATTCAGCTATTTCGATTTCCAGATCATATAAACCAAGTCCATTTCAATTAGGATAGTTTGTAGAAAGAAGAATACGTTCCATAGATGATGATTCGACATTAATCCATTTGATTTTATCATGAATTTTAGGTAATATTTGTAAACAAAATCGATCAAGCATTGGATTATTTAAAGGATAATATAAATCATTAGTCGAACGTGTGGTTAATGTTACGCAACTGGTAAATACATAATCATATACAATTTTATTTAATCGTTTATTAACACCTAATAGAGAATAAAGTATATCGATACTGCACAGTTTTTTAAAAATAATCATAAGAATTTCATTGGGTAATTCATCCAATTGAATACATGAATTTTCCATTTTTTTTTCTTCACTTATTTATTCTTTTCAACTTATAATAAATGTCAATATTTATCTCTCTCTATATATACTCATTTGTTCTCTTTGACCGAAGTCGTCAATGAGAACAATGATGTGTAGTCTTTGTGTGGTCGGAATCGACAATGAATGAAAAAAAAATTTTCTATCTTTTTTCCTGTAGAAGTTATTTTTTTGCATTGAATTTATTGTACTATATGAAAGGTTCACATTTTATCTCATATGATGAACATTGACAGTTATTGATTGATACTTTTATTCTGATAAGAAAAGAATGATATTTTAAGAGATTAAGTGAAAGTTATTTTTGAATTTTCTAATATTAATATTGATTTATATAAACATTAATTTTCCTATTGTTTTTCTTAATGTTAGCTCAGATTTGCAAGACATCAACTGTCAATGAAGCTTACTTCTCTGAAAATTAGCTTGTAGATATACCTAAGTCAGAACATAAACCCGCAGCAATTATTTATTGGATCAAATGTTAGTGTGTGTAGATGTATAAGCCGAGAGGTCGATCGGTGGGTGCTCGGAAAAATTTTTAGTTTTTTCAAATCTTCGGCGGTTGCTCATTTGAAGCTGTAGGCTCTTCAGCGGCGGCGGCTGTAAAAGATAATATTTTTTAATGCTCACGGCGGCGGCGGCTGGAAATTTCGAAATTACGTGGGGCACTACAAAAGTTTTTTCACTAGCCTTTAGGATAAATATTCAGAGGAGGATTTTAATTTATTTTTTCAAAGTACTGTCCTTCAGTATCAATGCATTTATGCATTCGAATAAACCAGTCTTCGGAAC